CGTTCGTCAGATATCAAAGGAGAAAGAATTTCAAAAAACGTTTTTTTTTTTTTAACATAACTTCAAGATTTCGCAACATAATTTGGTGAAATTTGGAGGGATTTGCATTTGAAATTAGCGGGAAGTTCCAGGGATGGCCTGCAGGGTCAACCAATTTTTTTTACATCAAATGCCATAAAATAACCTATATTTTGCATCCTGTATATTTTGTTGTAAAATATCATAAAGTATTCAAGATTCTAACTTGTATTTTCAAAACTATGTGAACAATTCCTCAGAGCACACCCCCGAAGTAGATACGATAGTAAATACAAAAGGATGCAACATCTCTACACAGCACTAGTGAATCGAGCCATTCAAAGAGAACTTGATCGCCGACGACCGAGCGGCTTTATGCAGTCAAGTGGAGGGAGCTCGCAATGAGGAGCCCCGGCCCAAATACTGCAGGTATTTCGATATGTCGACGCCGAAGATTACGATACTGGCTACGGCAACAAGAGAAGTGCCCCGAAATTGAAAAGATACGACAAAAAGTTTCTTTTTAGCGGTAAAGGCGCAAACTTGTGAAAGATTTGTATAAATATTGAAATCGTAAAACGACTTTTAATTTCAGTGCTTTCCTAAAATATTTTAGATTTAAAGTGTGTTTTTGTAAAAGGAACGAATTTCATGGAGGCGCTTGCTCTCTTATTGGATTTGACATTTCTCGATGTGCCTTCGACGCCGACCAACCAATCCGACGTAAACCGAGTGACGTCATCCAATATGCCACCAATGTGACTGCTGTTTGTATTGATTCTTAGTTATTGAAAATTAAATATTTTATTGCTTGACACCAAAATTACGTAAAAAGTTAATATGAATTTTTGGTGTGATGACAGTCATAATAAATAGATTTATACAGTAAAACAATCATTCATACTCCCGATTATTATATTGTAAAGCATTTTAAACTTAGTCACCTTGAACAACATTATCGATACTTTGATTTCGAAACGATAACATTCCTAAAACGGATTTTTACCTTATATTTATTAGCGTCACCTATTGGGGAATAGCTGAAATGTTTTTCTAATAAATGTTCATCGAAGTTTTGCTATGTTTAGCTAGAGAACACCACACGCGTGCAAGCTCAAAGGTTTTGTACGCAAATGTTCCCAATAACCGTTCTATAGTATTTATATTTTAATATTCTTTAGTATGTGTAAAAAGTCGATAGTTAAAAATTTATTTCAAAATCTGTCCAAAGTTTTGATCAGATTCTGAACATTACTGACTACTTAAATGTCCATCAGGTCATTGCGGTGGTTGTGTATATAAAAAAGAGAGAAAATGCAGCTCAAAAGGATTCTAACGGTTTTGAATAAAAAAAAATAAGAATCCAAACGGCTTATTTCTATGTTAAAATTACTTGAAACAAACCCGTAATTTGGGTTTTTTTCTTTTCGTATTGTGTTGTCCGTTGAAAAATATTTCAACTCATAATACCAAAGCACTGTATAATATTAATCGGGTAATAGGCAAATGCATGTAAAATATGGTTTTGCCTTTCTTTTTTTCTTAATTTGCAAAAAAATTAGTACATGATAAACTGGTAAAGTGGCTACTGGTAACAGTTAACGTGTTTTATTGTGTGTGCTATTTACCAGAAAACAAGCTACATAAACTATTACACTATTTTCCAAATCATTAAAAAATTTGAAAATTAGTGATGTCATCTTTTTCCTTTAATATTCAGGTATAACATTTCCAATTTTCAATAATTTTCATCGATTTGTATAAGAGTTACAAGTTCTTGAACCTTCAAACCGCTCTCCTGTAAAGTTGTGTTTTTGCACTTGCATTAGTATACGTAGGACTCATCATAAAGTAGGATCATTATAATTGAAATAAAAATTGTTTCCATTGCCAAATGAATTTCATGATTTTTTTCAATTTGGGTATATCATAGGAGACGAACAAACATACATAAATCGATCGACGTAGCGCAAATATAAGTGGATTAAGACGAGAAGTCATCGAAGAACTAAGTACAAGGATACTTGCATAAGTACAGTCAATAAGTTCTTAACTGTAGTCAGTACTAACTAGCATTAAAAACGGCACTGGATCAAATGCTATCTGATAAGTTAAATAAAAAGCGGAATATTCGTTTACTAAGAATATAGTGCCGTATTAAGAATGTTATGATTTAGTTTAGCTCTGTGATTTCCGTAATATTTGCGCCAGTACTCACAGTACAAAAATGGCGGCGATTTACGACGTTATATATTTCCCTAGAGTACTGCGGCAATATACTGGCAGTCCATAACGGAACGAACTTTTCACTAGTGAGAGTATTGAGCAGTGCTCGCAGTGTATATCGGAGCATGACCTTAATCAATAATCATACTACGTAGTACTATTATTTATTCTGTGGTAGAGCGTAGTATGCGTACATACATGTTTGTTATAATCTGTAGTCAACGAACTTGACCGCAAAAGGCAAAATTTAGATAAATGCCTATATATTATAAACAAGAAGCTTATAAATTTTAAATTAGTAGAAGATAGAATGCAGAAGTTATAAAAATCCAGAAGTTATTGTTCTGAGTTGAGAGAAGTCATTATACACAGAATATATTATAACTTTTTATCTTTACGTATATATCTTATCTATGGCAAAAGCATTTTGACATTTTAACTAAAACGTAACATAGTGATTAAATACTCTTTGACTTAAATATATTGTAAGTGATTAACAACAACGTATCTTTGACCTTGTTTAAAGATAAGAGTTGTACATATAAGATTTTACTGACCTTGTAAGTACGTAATACAATTTTGCTTTGACTGATATTTATGACACAGTAATAAATATTACTAACACTATTCGTGTTGAATTCGATCATAAATGGAAGTGAATGGATGCTTATAGGTTATGTTATGGTTATTTACTTGACAGTTCAATTTATTGCCAGTAACATAATATTTCTAATTTTCCTAAAATTTTAAATGTGTGCTATTTTAATATTTTAAAGTCCTAGTTTTACAATTTTCAACTATTTTATTATACTAGTTGCAACTTTATGTGATATGTAATTTTATTACATTAAATACATTAAAATGATCAAAATATTTTATTTATATAGATAAAAGCAAGAATAATAATGCCCTATAGTTATTAAACAATTTAATTAGCTATCTAGAATTTTAATCGTTGACTTTAAAAATAATGCTATGAATACGGCGATCAAAATTATTTTTAAGGTATTTCTTTAGTAATCTGCCGCACGAATTTATGGTCGCCGAGGGGGCGAGAGGGGGGGGTGTAGGAACCTTTCCCTAAAAGAGATATGTGCCGGAACCCCCCCTTTTTATGATTTTTTTAGTAATCTGCCGCATGAATATATGGTCGCCGATTGGGGGAGGGGGCTGGGGTAGGAACCTCCAAGTGCCGGAAACCCCCTTTTTTGTAAAATCATAACCTCACTTTTTTATGCAGGAATATTGACGCAGTTACCTCTGCAACGGCCTCGGCACTGCGGGAAGTGCAGCCCCTTCGCCCTTGCGTAGCAAATCACAGGCACCCATGCTCCGTGCCTTTACAAAAACACTCTAGGGGTAGGGCAGACAAGACTACGTGGAATCGGGGTGTGCTAATTCGGTTTTAGAACCGATTCGACCACTTTTATCTATAAAGTCTAGTTGCTCTTAACTCTGCTACTAGAGTGGTAAATGAAATAATGTAATGTGAATTGTTATAATTTTGTCTGAAAAACCTCTTGACTGCTCTCCACTGCAACTCAATTTGTTGTATATAAGTCCCATCTCCAGCCACAAATGGATTGCCTGGGTCCGAGTGATTAACTTTTGAGTTTATGAGTGTATCTGTGTTAAAAAAACAAATTGACATATTTGCGTTTCGTTATATGCAATTTTAAGTGAAATTTATTTTTATCTTAATTAATTCAAAAGGCATTTCCGAAATCCAAAAACAGTGTAAATGGTTCGAGCTTAACCCTGACAATCCTCCTAAATTGAAAACAAAATTAAAAAATCAAGTACCGGAAATCTACTTCATAATACAAGAACAAATTAACATATTTGCCTTTCGTTATTACACTATTTTTGGTGATTTTTTTTTATCGTAATTAATTCAAAATGCATTTCCGACATCTAAACACAGTATCATAGGCTTAAACTTAACCCTAATAAGCCTCCTAGACTAAAAACATTATCAAAATCAAGTACCGGATGTCTAGCCAACCCGATATAACCTCAAAACTTTAACTATCGATATCTCGAAAAATAAAGATTTCCGGCATAAAAAGCAGCTAGATGGTAATCAATAGCATCATTGCCTGTCAACTAAAGCAAAAATAATCACTTAAATCGTACAGCAGATTACTAAAACCGACGCATTTTTAAAAATTTAAATATAAAAAAGCAAGGCCTTTTCAAACGAAGAACCTAGGTCAGACCTGAAGACAATTACATCACATACAGACACTGAGCTGAGCGACATAAAATTGGAGCCTAAATTCGTCCTTCTGCTGAACATTTGTCTTCACTCATTACGGGAGGGTTATTATGGAGCTGATAGTCCACCGCGCTGCTTCATTATATGTTGGCGGGGTTCACATTGACCGTTTAGTGACCGTTTAGTACCCATATCATCTCGTGGGTGTCGTAAGAGGCGACGGGGTGAAACAAATCGGGAGATGTTTAGATGATAACAATAATAACGCCTGCCAAGCTTGAGCTGCCAAGCTGCGCTTGGATTTTCTGCTTACTTTACATGTCCTTGAAACATTTTTTCAGATATAATGTTTCTTAAGGATATTTGTATTACCTCGGCCTATAATTATAATAATTATTTGCGCTAAAATACTTAATTTTACTTACTAATCTCGCTGCATTGTCTTACGGGGAGTTGCAGCATAAAAAAATGTATACTTTTAATCCACCAGTTTTACCACCACGTCACCGAGTTAATAACCACATTTTTATTTTTATAGCAGCCTCTTTGGTAACCGGAGATATAATGAAGAATTTGACTACTGTAACTTGGGCACATGCAGTCAACAATAAGACCTATCTGGAGGCAGTTTTAGCCAGTGAGTACTAAACCTTTTTACTAATGAATTTATCTAGACAAACGGTAGTGTATCCGTTTATTTAAAAAGGCAAAGTCGACAAACCCAAACGTCATTTGTACAGAAATTGACCCCTCCCCTTTCATACATTTATGGTTTTGGCTGTATAGTGTTTACAAAGCAGATTGAAAGGCGTAATTTTATTAAAAATGTAATTTTTCTAAACACGAATGATTTTTGGTACCTACCTAAAAAAAACTTGTTATCAGATAATTTTTTTTATTTTAACGTATCATTGTCAATGCGGCTACGACTCTTTTTGTATTCTGATCGCGAAATTTTCCTCGTCTAATATTAGATAAAATAAAAATAAGATCATGCCGGTTAGTGGCGACGTAAGAGAGATTGACGAATCCCCATTTTGTCCCGTAGGTGTCGCTAAAGGTGACTATAAGAAATGCCAGGAATTTCCTATAGCATCCGATAGATGGCACTACAAGCATCTTTCTTTTTAACGTCAGCCGAAAAATACTCAGGTCGGCGACGGCTTCAAAGGTGCGAGACATCCACAGAGTACTTTTTGTATTGGAGACATCAGTTAAGATTGTCAATATGCCTGCCAAGCGTGACGTTTTTTTTAAATTTACGATTCCAAATTCACATTACAACGGGAGGCTCTTACACCGCTGTTCTATGGCGTAAGTCAAGTAAGTATGGAAAAATCGCTGTTGATAGTCGATTCCATAAAGAAGTTGTGCAAGGATTACAGTGGTGGACCGCCAATCATCCAGATGGTAGGGATGGTATCGCGAGTTTTGTCGCGATGTGCGATAGTGAAATTAAGCGGCTGCAATTAGTCCGAACGATTCCTCTGAACACTCCCCGTGGTAAATGCGATAGTATACCTACGCAAAGAGATGCAACATCTCTTCGCAACGCCAGTGAGTCGAGTCGATCAGAAAAAACTTGGTCGCCGACAATTTGAACCGCTCTGCGCTGTATGCGACCAAGTGGAAGGATCTGGTACTGGGGTGCTCCGGCCCCGACATGGGAACAGTAAGTGGTGTGCCGCCATGAAATACTATCCCGCTCTATTTGTAGACGCTAAGCTTTTAAGAGACCAATTTGATCTTCCCTTACAAGTGATCGCGGAACCGAACGTCATTCGATATGTCGACACCAAGCATTCCTATACTAGCTGATAGCTGAGGCAACGAGAAAAGTGCCTTGAAATAGAGGAGATACGACAAAGGGGTTTAGCGGTAAACGTGCAAACTTGTGTCTTCTGGGGATTGAACTGGATTGAATATAGTCGTTACCTATCCAAGATTCAAACAAACTTCAACATAGACTCGACTTTAGACACAAGTTTATTCCGGCACTCGACGACGTATTTCCGGGAAATATTAGCACAGCGGGGGTATAAGGCATCGCCAGTGCTGTCATCGGCATAACAATGAACATTACTGGTTTGTAACATCGTTGATATGCAGAAGGAACAGGGTAGGACAGTGGTGGGTAAACTTTTTTAATGGCGGGCCAGAATTATAGATTAAAATGCATTTTGAATTAAAGCTTTACCCTACCCTACCCAGTAGGCGATAGCACGCAGCCTTGTGGAACACCTGCATTCACAGGCTCGGAGACGAAGCATGCACGGTTGACCTTAATGCTCCGATCTGAGAGAAAATTGGTGATCCAATTGCATAATTTAATAGTTATAGTGTAATGTATAATTCCATTTTAGATAAAAATCATTATTAAATAGAATCATAATAATGATTTCTTATATTTACGCGAACACTATACATTGATTAAAACTACTTTTACGGATTTTATCACGTTTTATTTATTTTATTTTTAATACGTTTCGTTTATATTTTTAATACCCGACGTTTCGGGTGCTTTCCCGCACCCATGGTCACGGGGGACTGAGGTTACTGACGTCCCGATGTCAAAGTTAACCCGGAGTACCTTCAGCTTTTTAATTATTGTCTTTGGTCCGATCTACGCAGAATGAACTAACTGTGTTTTGAAGTCTTGCAGTGGTATGCTTGGGTTTAGTTTTAATTTTATTAATTATTGGGTCCCAAGCAGATGGTAGTACCCAGCCTCCTTCTCTATTGAAATTAGGATGTTTTTTAATTTCAATAGCCTCACGTATCATCCTTGGAAGGAATCGGTGTTCTTTCGCGAGGATTTGTGGTCTATCAAATCTGATGTAATGGTTGGGGCCGTCTAGGATATGATCGCAAACTGCAGACTTCCCGGAACGTTGATGCTTCACATCAGCTATATGTTCTTTTACGCGGGTTCTAATTGATGTTTTTGTTTGTCCTATATAAGAGAGACCACATTCACAATCAAGCTTGTACACTCCTGCATCTTGTAAAGGAATATGACACTTGACTGATGGTTAAAACTGACTAACCTTCTTCGGCGGCTTGTAGAATGTTCTAATAGAAGCTCGCTTCAAGATGTAGCCAATCTTGTCTGTGACACTTCTGACATATGGTAGTACAGCAGGCACACGCTCGACTGTGGCGGCTTCACTTGGTATGAAGAAAACGCGATAAAATCCGTAAAAGTAGTTTTAATCAATGGAATCATAATTTTTATTACAACTTATTTCATTGTGCCTGCTTATCCCTAGCACTAGAAAAAAATGTATTCTCCAAATACTTGTAATATTTAAAAACAACCTCACAAAAATCAAAGAACGTTTAACATTTTCTTTAACTTATTGTCGTACAGGCTACAGGCCATCTGTTAATGGTTAAATATTACCTACCAGGAATTATATTTTAAGAAAAAAAAAGAATATATTTTTATTTCCATTGGTTTACACATAACTGAATCGTTGCAAGCATGTTCAATCACATCATGTGTTTACTATATGGACGTAAAATTGACCTAGAATATGATCGTTGATCATTTTCAACTTGTTCCAAATAGCGTAATGTCCTTACAATCAATTGTTTGAATGGATGTTTCGCGTTTGACGAACCATGGAGACCTCACCAATTATTGATTGCGACCTTGTGTTAGTGCAAATACCTATTTGACTAAATAACACACAAGCTTCAATGCCAAGGGACATTCCTGGTTGCATATATAGGGTTACTTGGTAATAACCGGCCAAATTTGCAGAGAACGTTCAGAATAAGTAATATAGGCAAATGGTGAAGAAGTATTAATTAAAAAAAATCTCAAACATTCAGTTCTTTTTCTTTTTTAATTCAAAATGTGTGGTAATGCATGCTGCAATGCTTGCTGGTTTTATTGCGCACGCAGACAGGTCGATCAGTAGGCAAAAACGTCGTTGTCCATAAATCACATTCATCATCATCATCATCATCACAGCCCTTCATAAGTCCACTGCTGAACATAGGCCTCCCCCAAGTAATGCCACAAAGCACGGTCCTGAGCCACCTGCATCCATCGACTTCCTGCATATCTTACCAGGTCGTCACTCCATCTAGTGGGGGTCGCCCTACACTACGCCTACCGGTACGAGGCTGCCACTCGAGAACCTTTCTTTCCCATCGGTTATCGGTTCTTCGAGCTATATGGCCGGCCCATTGCCACTTCAGCTTACTAATCCGTTGGGTTATGTCGGTCACTCTAGTTTTACTGCGGATATCCTCATTTCTGAGTCTATCACGCAGAGAAACTCCGAGCATAGCCCTCTCCATAGCCATAGCTCGCTGAGCGACCTTAAGCGTCCTCATACGGCCAGCAGTGAAAGACCACGTCTCTGATCCGTAAGTCATCACTGGCAACACGCACTGGTTGTACACTTTAGTTTTCAGAGATTGAGGTATACCTGACGAGAAGATGTGTCGTAATTTCCCGAACGCTGCCCAGCCGAGTTGAATCCGTCGATTGACCTCTCGGTCGAAGTTGGACTTACCTAGTCGGACTATTTGTCCCAGGTAAACGTATTCGTCAACAACTTCGAGCATAGTGCTCCCAACAACTACCGGCATAGGTGTGACATGGACATTGAACATGATCTTTGTTTTGTCCATGTTCATCTTAAGACCTATCCGTTGGGAGGCACTATTGAGGTCATTAAGCATAGTGCTTAAGTCCTCCAGAGATTCTGCCATAAGGACTATATCGTCGGCAAATCGAAGGTGAGTGATGTACTAGCCATTGATGTTAATACCGTATCCTTTCCAGTTCAGTAGCTTGAAAACGTCTTCCAAAGCAGCGGTGAAGAGTTTCGGGGATATAATGTCACCTTATCTTACACCTCTCTGCAGTTAGATAGGTTTCGAGCTCTGGTTCTGTACTCGGATACCCATCGTAGCCCTACTGTACAAACACTTCAGCACTTCGATATACCGACAGTCAACTTGGCACCGCTGAAGGGACTGCAGCACCGCCCAAATTTCGACGGAATCAAAGGCTTTCTCATAGTCCACATACGCCAGGCAAAGTGGCAAATTGTACTCTTCAGTCTTCTGTACAATCTGCCGCAGGGTATGTATGTGGTCTATGGTACTGAAGCCTTTTCGGAAACCGGCTTGTTCGGGAGGCTGGAAGTCGTCGAGTCTGCGTGCGAGACGATTCGTAATGACTCTCGAAAACAGCACGTAGACGCGACTCAGAAGGGAAATCGGTCTGTAGTTCTTCAAGAGAGCGTTGTCGCCTTTCTTAAAGAACAAGACCACCGCACTTCTGCTCCACGCCTCTGGAGTAGTGCCACCATGGATGACGGAATTGAAGAGCTTCTGAAGGACTTCAAGTACCGGTGTTCCACCCGCTTTCAGAAGCTCCGCTGTAATTCCATCCTCGCCTGGGGTCCTCTAGGCCCCATTCTAATCTCGCTTAGACTGACGTCCGGGATATCATCGGAATAGTGTCGGATAAGACTTGCTCTTGGATCGTTACTCACACTTGCGTGTGGCTCCAACGATGATGTGTACAGCTGCCCATAGAACCTCTCAATCTCACTCAAAATCTCAGGTGTCCCGGAAACGATGCTGCCACACTCAGTCTTCAGCCTTGACAGT